ATGGCATTTGATTTATCACAACACATTGTTAAAAAACAACTTCGAGTTTTATTTGTATATTTTAATTCTCCAAATCGCACCAGCACCCTGACTCACAACAACATTTGTGCATCAAGTAAAGTCACAGATTCTGCTCAAATAAGCATTACAACAGTGGCCCACATCGATTTCCGCTGTCAAAAGTCAGCGGTGGAAAATCCACATTCCCATGACAGGAGCCACTCGCTCTCTCTATTCTATGGCCGCTGTTGTGTAGCCCCCATCTCGTCAAATCCCGAAAATCAAGCAGGTTGGAGCAAGGTCAGAACTTTGGATGGGGAACTGTCAGGTAATTGGACATCTCTGAAAAAGAGCTGTATAGCTCATCGGATTCCTCCGGTATAACTAAATATTCTGATTCTGAATTGCAGATGTTGTAGACGCAGGCTGGAAGGTGGGCAGCAGTCACTCAACAATGCATCATAAAATCCATCTGTTTCCAAGCTTTGAGCGTTTTCTCCGGGTCCTCCGTTCCTTCCCACACCAAGTCAAAACTCCTGAATGGAATTTGGCCAAACAACCCAATGTAGTAGCAGGACCCCTGGGGATTCAGTGACGATGTTCTAGGAGGTTTAAACGGCATTATTAAAATTCTTATTCTGATTTAAAAAAAAAACTATCTGCGTATATATGTATCGTGGGCTTCACAAGTACAGCCTTTTGCGTGAGTTGGATCGAACTACAAACGAATCTAGTTTCACAGTTCACTCTTTGAAGTGGCGAAAAATATATAAATGTGTACGCATTTTTAATACATCAACAGATCTCTGTTCTCTGCGATAATGGGCGTCTTCTTCCAAAAATAGACGGCATTATACAGCATTAGCGTGCACCTCTTGGGGGGTTGAGTGTGCGGCTCGGGAACGGTGGGGGGGAGGGGGGCTGCTAGATTTGGGTGGCTGGGAGTGCGGAAATGATATAAACATCTGTACAATGAGATGGACGCACTCATGCATGCAGGCACTCGGTTGAGTTCACATAACACTGAAATAAACCCAGTTCGGTGACTCGGCCTCTCACTATCGCACTACGCTCACTCGCTCACCCGTTCACGCACCCAATGGATCGCACACCCACTAACTCGCTAATCCACCCTATCGGACACTCACTGGCTGGTTCACCGACCACTCTCTCACACACCCACTTACCAACCACTCAACTGAACGCTAACTCACCCATTCAATCACCCCGCAAATTGCACACCCGCTCAACCACTAACCCATTCCGTTGCACGCTCACAGACTCACCAAACCTACATACTCACCCACATATCAACACACCTACCTCACTAAATTACCCACCCATCCAGGCATACACCCATCCACCCACTCACCCATCCACCCGCTCCGACCACCAAAGCCATCACCACATTTGCATCTGATTGAACTTATCCTTTCCACCTCCCTCCCTCCCCATCCCCGTCACCGCTCGAGTGATTTTCGCAGGCAACGGGGAACTCTCCGAGGAAACGGAGGTTGGGGTTCTCGGCTGTGTTGGAGACATTCCTGGAACTACGGAGGGCACAGCAGAACGCGATAGGGCCCTGATACAGGGGAGATTTTTTTTTGTTCGTGATGGCAAAACACTAAATAACATGTTATATATAACATTATGAATTGCATACGACGGTTGCATTGGTGGAAGATGTGTGTGCTGGTGCGTCAATGAGATGGCGCGTGTGTGTACGTATGGATGTACAAGTACAACCGTCGGCATGTGTGTGATTGCACTGGTGTGTGTCGGTGTGTGTTGGGGAGCGGTTGTGCAGCGGTGAGGGTGCTGCACTACAAACCTGACGATCCCAGTTCGATTCCTGCTCACGGTCAACATCAGTGACGATTACTTAAACCAGCCCTAGGCCTCCCCTAGGTCGAGTCAGCCTCAAATGAGTACCTGGTGCGGTGCGTAAAAACATCGCCACTGGGGAGACAAAGGCGGCCGGGCGTGGTGCAGGCCACCCACCCCCTCGCGTGCCGTTCCGGCCTTCATAGGTGCTCCCTTAACAGCACTTGCTCCAACAGTCTGTTAAAGCAATACGGGGGATCCCTGTTGGTGCACCTAGCATGGCACAAGCGCCGTGGTGATGTCACCGCCACGAATTGGTGAAGAGGGGTTGTTCTAGTAGTGTATTGGTGTGCGTGCCAACGTGTGGATACATGTGCTGACACGTGCTGGTGTGTGTTCTTTTGTATGCGATACGTGTGCTGGTGCACTAATGAGCTGGTGCTGGTGGTGTGTGTTGGTGTGCACTGCTGTTTGCATTGCCATGCTGGAGAGTGTGTGAAGGATCTGGCGTGTGTGTGTGTGTGCTGGTGTGTACATACACTGTTCTGGTGTATGTGTGCAAATGGTGTTGTCCATTGTCGGTGTGTGCGGTAGTGTACTTGCTGGTGTGAGTGTTTACACGTGCTCACATGTGTGGTTGGTACATGCGTGCCTTTGTATGCGCTGGATGTTCTGATGCGTGTGTGTGTTGGTGAGGGAGTGTGGCGTTTGTGTGCAGACTGCCATATATAACATCATAACAGTCTGGATCACTGGACGGGTTCCACAGGATTGGAAGAATGCTTTGGTGGTCCCCCTCTTTAAGAAGGGGGGGCCGCACAGATTGTAAGAACTACAGGGGCATCTCCCTCAGTGTACTGGGAAAGGATTATTCAACATCGCCTTGCCAGGCACGCTGAGGAGGGGCTTTCGAGAACCCCAATAGGCCAGGACGGTCTTGGACAGATGATATGTTGTCTGTCTGCTACAGCAGACGTGTAGGGAATTCCAACAAGACCTACATCTCTGCATTATTCACCTGGTCAAGGCCTATGACATCATCAATAGACCTGGGCTTTGGGATGTTTATTGCGATTTCAGAGTCCTTGAGTGAGAGTGATTCCCTGTCCTCTGGCGCCTACATTATTTTACATCTTTTTCGACCACGTCGTTCGAGAAGTCTTCCATGGCTGTACCGGAGGAATCTCCATCGAGTACAGACACAATGGGAGGCTGATTGATCGTCAACCATGTTACGTATGCTGATGATCTGGTGATTGCTGCTCACTCAGAGAAGGAGTTGGAGGCGCTGCTGCTTGACCTGGAGCGTGCTACTAAGAGGTGGGGCCTTACCATCAGCCCCACCAAAACTAAGCACCTGCCTGGGTATTTTGTGCCATCGGACACTCCACCCCCTCAACTCGACATTGGCGGGGCAGTTTTGGAGTGCAGAGGTTTCCATACATGGGCATGTTTGACAGCAGAGGTCTCATTCAGAATCAGTCGAGCGGCATTATATCTTAACGGCTGCGTAACGCTGTGTGGACGCAAACTGGTCTGCCACTGCACCCGAAAATTCGGGTCTTCTTGACCACAGTCAATGCGCTCCCTTCTTACACGCTTGCGAAACGTGGATCCGCTTAATGGAACATCTGCGCCGGTCAGAAACATGCAGGCCTACGATCCATCCTGTGTTTAACCAGGCTGTATTGTGTGAGCTCACACATCCTTGGACGATTTGGACAAATTCCCATCGGTGAGCTCCTCATGCAGGAAAGGCTGCGTTGGCTGGGTCATGTAGCCCGCATGCCCAGCCACCTAATCGTGGAACAGCTTTTGTTCGGCCGGATAGAGGGGGTTAAACGGGCGCGGCACGGGCTCGAGAACAGATGGACTGTGGTACGACAGGACGTGGAGCTGAGTGGAATTGACAATGACCGGTACCAGCGGTGTCAGGATCGGCCTCTGTGGAGGAGGCTCGTGAAGGACGCTGCTAATGGGCAATTGGAGGCAAGTTGGCACAGTAGGAGGGCAGTCATCTCAGTCAACTCATGACACCTGCTGGGTCTGTCCCGTGACCTCTCCGACACTGCACGTGGCCTTAACCTGAAAGCGCACCTAGCCTGGCACAAGCGCCGTGGTGACGTCACCGCCACTTAGTGGCGAATCGCGGTGGTTGTTGTTGTTGTTAGGTTGGTGGGTGGACTATGCCGGGCTTCAGTTCTGTAGTTCGGCATCTGTCGCGTCTCCGCTGGCAGTGACGCGGGGCGAGTCACCACCCCGGCGAGGAGCCGCCACTCTGCCCGGCCACGCGTGCGGGCAGTCGTGGGGGGCGTGCGGGCAGTCGTGGGGGGCGCGCGGGCAGTCGTGGGGGGCGCGCGGGCAGTCGTGGGGGGCGCGCGGCCCTCGCTCGCCCTGCGCTGGAGACAATAAAATAGCAGGCAGGATCTCTCACAGCCAACAGCAGCCTCCGTCTCAACGTGGAACCCAACAATCATCCTTCCCCTATCGATCAACAGCATTTTTGTTTTACTACCCCCAACCATCGTTAAAGCGTCACGTCACTGAACAGCCTCCTCTCCACCAACACAGCCGTCCTTTCATTCAACAACAACAGCAGCAGCACCATCTCCAGCAGCCAACAGCGTTCATTCTAACAACAGCCTTCCAGTCAATTGACCTTTGCCCCCCCCTCTAACCAACAGCCCCTTTCATCTTCTCAACAGCCTTGATCCTACCCACATCCTTCCTTACAATCAACAGTCTTCTTCCTTGCCAAACAGCCACCCTCCTTGACACAACAGCAACAGCCTGCCTGCTAAATAACTACAGCCGCCCTGCTGCCCCCCCCTCTCTCTCCCCCGGCAACAGCCCCGCATTCGCCCCGCCCCTGGGCGAGACGTCATCACGCATCACCGGGAAAACCCTCCTGGAGTGACGTCATCACGCATCACAGGGCCCTTACCGGGGGCGACGTCAACACGCAGATCGCGCCACTCCCCGACAACCACACCCCCGGCTAATACGTCATCACGCAATCCAAATCGCCCACCCCTCCCCCCTCCTCTCCTTTCAAGTACCCGCACCTTCCACACCCCCGGACGTGACGTCAACCCGCAACGGGGCGCGGGCGGGCGGAGGGGGGGCTACCCCCTCCGCCCCCCCACCTTTGCCTCTCAACTGGGCCACACCCCCGGACGTGATGTCAGATCTGCCCATTTGACGTCACGGCACTTCCTGGTGCCGCGCGCTGCTTCCGTTCGCAGCCGCTGAGCGGGGCGGCTCCGCGCTCGGTCGAGGCGATTATCGCGATAATTCGTGCCCACTAATTGCGGTTAAATTCCTCCCCTCGCTGTTTCTCCGACGCCTCTTGTTGTTTCGTGTCACCGGCCGCGCCAAGGTAAAAGTGGCGGTTGTGTTTTGGTTTCTTTTTGAGGGGGCCGCCGCCGCCGCGTCTAGTTGGCGACGTGTGGGGGGGGGGAGAGCCGTGCAATACCCGGGGGAGGCGGGTGGAGGTAAGAGCCTCGCGTACTGCTGGAAGGAGGGAAGGCCGCGGTCCTTATCATCATCATCATCAGAATATCTTCGGCAAAACGGCAGCACTCCAGCATCAACGTCAGCACATGGTCATCGCAAGCGTCTTCAGCACATCGCCACCTATGCACCTCGCTAACCCTCTCGCCAAGCGCTAAACATCAGCATCGACATCACCCAGCTCGCTTCATCCTCTCACCTCATCATCACCACATCATCTTCCCGTCGTCATACCTATCCGTCCCCTCACGTTAGTCGTCAACAGCATCGCCACCTCATGTTACTCCATCGGTACGTCACCTCATCAGCACCTCGGTCGCCTCATCAGCAACATCGTCATGCTGACACTCCCTCCTTTGCTCACCACTCACATCATCCATGCTCATCCTTTTCCCCTCCTGTTTTTGTCGTCTGCATCGCAGCTTCGCCTCTTCCTTCCCCACCCTGTGCGGTCGTGCTTGCCGTTACAGGCGTCTCACGCCCACGCTAACACTGGCATCCCCCCATCGACACCATCACCGCTACAATACCATCACCGTTATCTCAATGCCGACCATCGCCACGAACAATAATACCATTATCACCGCTTTCACCATCAACCCCCATGACCACGATAATTTCCAATCGTCAACACTCACCACATCACCATTGCCATCGCGATAGTCATCGTCACCTTCGCCACAATCACCGACCATCGCCACCATCACTGTCAATATTATCGCTAATATAAAATCATAACCATTATTATTACCATCAACGCTATCAATGTTACTCTACCATCGTCATTGTCGGCACCATCACCATTACCCAAAAGTAACTTTACAGTTATCACCATTACTGCGGTTAAATTAAACAATGGTAACAATATATCACGTAATCACCACTATTATTAGCACCAATGTCTTCAACACTATCACTACCACTGTTAATTACATGAACATACCCCATGTTAACCCTTACACACAACTACCACTTCTAAATCATCATTACAACTACCACCGTCTTCCACTATCAACTACAGTACTGTACCATAGTCTTAATTATTACCGTCACCACCACCACCACCGCCTTCATTCCAGAGCAATCACCAACAACTAGTCAATCACAAGCAGCATCGTCGCCATCATCACCACTACCTATAAACTACCACGGTATTTCCGCGTGAGATTCGCTGCCCGTGATGGCGATGAGAGAGGGATGAGGGAGAGAAATGCGGGCGGACGTGGTTTTACAAAGGGAATGGTTGTGGTGGTGGTGGTGCTGCTGCTAGTACCTGGTTGTTTTTTTCCTAGAAGTGGTTGCTACTGGTTTGTTGGTTGTGGTGGGTCTGACGTAGGTTGTGTGTGTAGAGACAGCGAGTATGGTAATTGTGGCGGTGGTGGTGGTGGTTGTGTTAATAAGGTTGAGTGAATGTGGTTAATGTGGAGCATGCTGGGAATGGTGGTTACACAATAAGCGGTGGTGGTTGTGGTGTTATTGCGGTGGTTTATCGTGTCGCGTAACGTCTTGGCGGACGTGTTGAATGCATTTGTGAGTGTGATTAATTCAGGTAACGTGGCGATGATGATTCACGCACTGTCAGTTGGAGTCGTGGGAATTCTTTGTTGGTGGTTGTGTTTTTTAGTGTATCAAGGTTTGTCGTTGTCGTATTATATCGTGATGGGTGCTCTGGCGGATATGCTATGCGTGTAGAAGTGGCTGAAGCGGTGTTGCGTGCGTGGTGGTTCTTGATGTGTTTGTGTTGGGCGTAAGGCGATTGTAATGGTGGGTGATAGTTTTATCGAGTTTATTGAGGTGTCGGTGGTGGTGGAGGAGGTTGTATGGTGCGGTAGTTGTGTTTGTTGAGTGTATGGTATTTGTAATTGTGGTTGCTTACTGTGCTGGGTGTTGGCGGCGGTGGTTGTTCAGTGTGGTAATTAAGCCGTGTAATGTGCTTGTGGTAGTTCCGTAGTTGTGTGAGTTGCGGTGTTCAACCGTGAATGGTTGTCTTCTCGTTAGGGCAGCGGTGGTTGTGTTTGTTGGGTGTCTCGAGGTGACAATTATTCCACTGCTGTTGTTGGGGTGGTGGTGCAAGCTTTGTCTGGACCTTGCCTGGTGACGGTGGGCATTGTGCGTGGTTGTTGGCTGGAATTATTGGCGAGTGCACGTTGGTAATTGTGGTGCTTGTTGTTGGCTTTAAGGTTTTAGGTGTGGTCATACTGGGGCTGTAGTAGGCATAGTAGTTGTGGATGTTGCAGTGGAGATTGTAGGAGGCGAGGCTGTGATTGTTGTGCGCTTGGCTCCGTTTGAGGTGGCGGTTCGCGCGCTGCTTGTTGCTGTACTGGGTGCGGTTGTGATTCTTGAGTTAATGTTGAGGCTGTTTGTGTAGACGTTGTCAGTGGTTCTTCCTGGTGTGTCTGAGCTCTGGCTGTTGTAGCAAGAGTTACGGTAGTGATTGTGGGTGTTAGAATGTTGTTACAGTTACAGCCGTTGTGCCGCGTGTGGTTGTTGCGTTATTGTGTGTTTGAGATTGTGCTTGTTGGGTTATTGTGTGTTTGAGATTGCTTGTTGTATTTGTTGTATGTATGTTGAACTTGATTCGCACCATACTTAGACAACCGCGTTTTGCAGGTATTGTCGTAGTCGCTACGTGTGTGGTTGGTGTTGAATGTTGCGACTGCTCTGGTGGTAGTAGTAGTAGGAGTATAGTGGTCGGGGCCTGGTGAAATAATGTCGAGGCTATTACAGTGCTAATTGTTCTTGCTGTAATTTGATGTTGTGGCTATTCTAGTCGTCGCACTTGTACTTGGTATTTTTGGTAGTTGATACTGTTCATGGTGGTAGTTGCCGTGGTTGTGGTTTATGTTGTGTCGTGGTTACTTTTTGCGTTAACTTTCGTTTGGCTTTTGTGTTTTGGCAGGAGAGGCTCTGGCCGTGGTAGATTTAACAGCCGTCATTCTTTGGTTCGATGTTGAGTGTTGTGGTTGTTTTAGTTGCGGCTCTTAATGTATTTAAGTTGGTTGTGCCTGCTGGTGGTGTGGCAGTGTCTTGTAGGCAGGTAACTGTGCTTCAACTCATCGATTCAAACGTATACTTGCACACGCGGCGCATGCATAGGATTTGTTCATGCAAGTATCGATTATTTACCAGTTTATGCAGATTATATACAAATGTAACGTTAAGGCTAATGGAGAGGAAAACAAAGTTCACAAATGACCTTAACCAGAAGTCATACAACCAAGATGGCAAACAGACAAACAATATATATTTTAATCGAATCGCTGGACACAGTGACTTGTTACATAACTGATCCTACCGCCTGTGGTTTTGTCTTGGGTAGTGCTAATGCTGTGGTTTGCAGTCGCCGTTTCTCATGGCCACCGAGTCGGCAAGCTTCCACCGCTGCTCATTGTTTCTGCCCAAAGAACTTTAACTTGTGACTGCCACATTCCCAAGGGGGCAGAGTTGAAGACTCTCGCCAATGGGTTGCCAGTCTGCCCCAGTAACCCCCGGCATGCCATTTAGAGAAGCCATATGGCCGTTAATCACTGCAGAAGCTGCACTTTTAACGCAGCGCAATAATGACGGATTTCAACCAATGAAATCCTGTGGTCTGCACGCTAGTTTTGTAACAAATCGTTACAAGCGTCACACCAAATCCAGCATGACCATCTACCACATTTCACTTTGATAGGTTCGAGGTTGGGGGGCGGCAAGGAGCTTGCTTCACACCCCCTCCCCCCCCCCCCCAAGTATAAATAAAGATTGTGATTCTGAACATCCGAGTCGACGTTTCCCCGAATGAAAGTTCACCTTGGGGAATTATATCAGGATCCGTGTAAAGCGAAGACCTTGCCTGCACCCGCGCAGCTGTCGAGAGCCCGCGCCATCGCGACTGCCAGATTTCCTCGCATCGATGCAGCCTGCGGAGGTCACCTTAGGGCATGCCCTACGTGCTCCAGGTTATATCCCGAGACCGATGCTGTTGCTGCTGCTGCAGCGTACCTTGAGAGCTGTTGCTTTGTTAGACGGATGTGTCATGGGCTCGGTGTTGGCGAGAAAGCCATGTTTTATCAACGTGACTTCATGCAAATCGTTGTATCAGCTGTCTATGTTGTCCTCGTTCGGTGGTGGTGGTGGATTCTCACCTGGATTAGAATAAGGATGTGATTTATTGGAGCGTCGTTCCGTGTACGGCACATCAAGTGCCGCCCCCCCCCCCCCAGCGGTAGATGTATAAGTGCAATCATTAAAAATAATTGCCTTATCATTTTAATAAAGGGTGCTCCTTGCAAAAAGAACCTTTGTACTGTAGAGCAAAGGTTCCGTTTGCAAGGTATCATACACTGTACCCCTGTGGGGTCCCGTCAACAACCTAGAATAGATTATTGAACTCTACGTGCTTTGTTTGCACCTCATGTCTCACTTGCAAAATAATCTAGTTGCCAACGATCCCTGTGTTGTATTATGTAGATTTGTTTTGGAAAAAAACAACTGCCATGTGAACGTCAGATAGCTGTGAACCACGGCCAAGAGGAAACCTTCACTGGGCCGTAATCAAAGCCCATTATATGTGTGACAATGCGTCAATTAAAATAGATTCTTACGCTCGCAACAATTGAGTCGAATCGTACTTTCTGAAATTAATTATTTAGGCTTTATATATTGGATAATGTGACTCCTGAAGCCAACAGAGGCTCCGTAATAAATTGTCAAATTGAATCGCGAATGAAATGGTGACGGTCCGTTAAATCGCGACAGATGTTAATCGTTCAAGGCCTGGACTCTTCTTAGCCCGCCCGAACCTCCTTCCACCTCTGTCCACTTGAGCTCCTGATACTATTCAACTCGGGGGAAACCCATCGGGAATCATTCCCCCAGCACAGCAGGGCCAGTGCGGTCCATGATGCGTGCATTGATTTGCATTGAATGTAAACGATAGTTTCGTATGTGTGCTGACTTATTTTTACCTCATTGGCTCCAGTGGTATAGGACCTCGTCAGTAGTGTTTGGTTTTGGCCCTTTTCAATGGGCAGGCTTTTTATGCTTGAAATGTTGCATCAAGGTGGGGTTTCAGTTGCATCACAGGAAATGCAACCAAAACAGCTCTTAAACCAAATATCGTATCATAGTTTGAGACACACATCAGTTCAGTGGTGTAGGTATCAACTTTTGTCTGTATTATTTACTCTTAGCTCTTATTTCGTAAATATGTACGTAAGCTTTGTGTTCCAGGCTGTCTAATGCATGTCTACATTTTGGGTAATGAATACAGACTTTACAGTGAATTTAAGGTGCCCTGCCACAGTGCTTTAGTGATGTCACTGCAGCCATCTGCTAGAATGTATGGCAATAGCACTGTAATGATGTCACGAGCTCACTGCAGCTGTGTGGCTGAAAGTCACTTGAAAGGCTTTTTGTCTCATTAACAAAACCTCACTTGTGTCCAACAGCCCGCGTTTGAGCGTAGGTACGTAGCTACAAGATAAGGGCTCTTTGGTTTTTAATTCCATCTCTTCCTTTCTATTCAGTGATATTTCTGATTTTAATAACCACTGGAGACAATGACTGAATATTTGGGGAGACCTTCATCTAGCAGTGGATTGACAAAGCGTTGTTAATATTTTAATATATCGCGGATGACACATGCAGTGTGATGCTGAGATTAGTGATGTTTGTTTTCTCGCTTATTTCTCTGCATGCAGAGTCCGTCACGTCGTCACAGCCCAGCGCGCCGCACTCAAGGATGCCTCTCGAGGCTCTAGCGCTCAACGAGAGAGGCCAGCGATGACTCACGTGGCACGCCGGTGAGCGAGAGGGCTTCCGCTCGCGCCACCTCCCCTTTCCCCCCGGCTCTCGGAGGAGGAGGTAGAGGGACGAGGACGAGCGAGGAGGAGAAGCAACGAGGAGGGTCGTGACGAAAGGGGCAAGGGGGGCCTGACCCCCCTCCCCCCGCCCCGGCACCGGCTACCCTTGCTCACCGAGGCCGAACGGCAGTGACGACGACGGAGGAAACGGTCAAACGGAGCTCCGTCGCGTTCTCCGAGGGGGAGTGCCGGGGGCGCCGCTCGGATGGATGTCAGCCGGCCGAGCGGCGAGGAGAAGAAGGTGGTGGAGGAGGGGAAGAGAATGTCGCGGACGAGCGTGAGCCGCGGCGGGCCGAGCTCACGGGGTAGCGGCGCGCCCAGCTCCGGCGTGCTCATGGTGGGGCCCAACTTCCGTGTGGGCAAGAAGATCGGATGCGGCAACTTTGGCGAGCTGCGGCTCGGTGAGTGTGGGTGGAGTGCGCGACGGGAGAACGGGGAGGGCCGTTTTGTTTCATATGTAATGGCTTCGTGTGATAGCGAGATTTTAACTACCTCGCCTGGTATAAGGAGGTTGTGGCTTTGGTCCCGACCCTGATGCCTGTAGATTTGGAGTTTGCGTGTTCTCCCCGTGGTCATGTGGATTTTTCTCCGGGTCCTCCCGTTTTTTCCCTCGATATTTAAAAAACATGTGTGGCGAGCATTTGGTCACTATAAATTTTGACCTGATAAGCCCCACTTCATTGGGCTATCATTTGTGATAACCAGGTCGCTTCTGAAAAATAGATATATAGCTCAGTGGGACTTATCTGGTCAAAAAAATAAGTAAAAATAAAAAATTGGTGGTGAGCATTGGTGGATTTTACATAGATTAGTGAGAGGTGGCTAGGAGACAAGAATATGTCAAGTGAGTTTATGAACCCCTCTATTAACCTAAACTCCACCCTCATAGATGTGGGTTTTCTTCAGGTGCTCTAATATTTATCCCATGCACGGGATTGAGGTGTCACCATGGTCACAGCTGTTGATGTCGCGGACAATACTTATTGTTACTGAATTGGTTATACTTCCCATTGCAGAAAGCCCCGGAAAAAAGGTTGAGATGCAAAGAGGATCTTATAGATAAATAATATATTATCATTATTAATACAATGATATTTCTTTACACAGAAAATCATCATGGAGGCTTCAGCCTTAGTTTACGTGCATTGGTCAAACACCAATGCACGTTTTGTTATAAACTCCACTGATGAATTCGGTCAACACGCTTCATTCGCACGGAAATATTCACCGGCTTATAGTTGTAGATTGCACTTTAACAGTGGCTTCTTGAAAACACTGGCAAATGTGAAGAAAGCCGAATTGTAAACCATCAAAACGCACCCTCCACAATTCCCCAAATCGTCGGCACATTTCTCCATTTCAGTCAGTGCGTGAACTAGATTTTAGAAATGTGGTGTAAATTAATATAAAAAAACCATCACAAATAGAAATCCTTTGCTAGATTTTTCAGACACAACGAGTGTGCAGTGCACTTGGTTTGATTTTCTTTTTCCCTGCTGCACGTGTACACGCACACGCACCAACAAACGCGTGCCGTTCTGAAGCTTCACACGGCTCAGCTGTATTTGACGCTGGGAGGAGATAAACGTGGGGCTGGTGGATAAGTAACTATCGTACGCATTACCCTTAGCTCCCTGTAATTCCACAGCTTTCCTGGGTACCAGCGAGTGTATGTTGCTGCTTTGGTCTGCAATTTTTTGTTAAGTTGCCTTTGAAGCCACAACCCCTGCTGGTATCGTCTATTTGCTCTTTAATTCGTTAGATAGTGGGACATATGTTGGACCGATACTGAATTGATTGATGTGGCTCAAAAGGCAGCAGTCCGAGTATCGTTGAGTGAGTTCAGCCACACATGGGTCACGTGGCAGGGTGCATATCTACACATGTAAAGTTATTTTGTCAATCCACTCCTGGGCAAGGGCCTCCGCACGCCGTGCAGATCGTCGAGGTCGTCATGAGCATAGTCCACCATGCTGCTCGGTCGCGGGTTGGTGAAGGCAAGGAACATAGGCGTACGAGTAGAGAAGTTCAGCACAACAATGCCCTCTTACCCACAATCTAGCCCCACGGCATGTGTTTGGTGGTTGCCCATCCAAGCACCGTCTTGACTAAAAACCTGCTTAGTTTATTATAATTGCTGTAATCGGGTACATTCCGAACAACTTTGTCATCGGCACAGACCTGTACTGGGCACTCTTAACCAGTCCCTGTGCATATGTTATATTTGTGTTTTATTGCGTACCAATATTTTAATCACAGGCTGGGTTACCAGTTTCCGTGACTTTTGCACACCGGTTGTTCAATTTTAGCACCAGTCAGGCATGGTGACTCACGCCTGTGATCTAGCACGTTGGAGATGATGGTTAGTGGTTCAAACTCTGATAACCGCTAGTTTGCAAGATGGCTAGTAGATAGCAGTACACCAAGTTGGTATGTGCGTCCTTTTAGTGTTGTGTTTTTTTTCCTTGGGGCATTTTAGTTTCCTCCATCGGTCATAGCGCTTGCTAAAAAGATTTTGGCAAAACATTACCAACCAGGACCTCCATGACAAAGAGCCTCGGGGTTTTCCCAGAAACATAAATTACATAATATTACATTCTCATAATTATTTTAATTACACCCTGAATCCAAGAAAACTCCACCAAGTCGCAAGGCTATCCCTCGGAGGGGTGTCTTGTGAGAAATGTTTGGTCAGTTCCTTATTTAGTGTGGATGTGTGGGAGAAAACTGGAGTTAGTGCCTGGAGAAATCGAGAGGCCTTAAAATCAAACGGTGGACAGAGAATGATTCGGAGTGACCCATTTTGATTTAACTGTGACACGAGATGCCGCGGAAGCTCTTGTCTTGCGAGATGACTTAAGGTCTCCCTCCCCTGCGAGAGACACTTGCCACCTCGGCAGGCTCCAGGCTGGTTATAAATAAAGGATTTAATTGATTACGGTAATTAGAATCAGTCCCCGGGGCGGGCAGGGCCTTGAGCTTAACGTGGCCTCGAGCAGACAGGACTGAGATGGAGTTCCCCTTTGATGGGAGCTCAAACCCTCCAAGGCTCTGTCTGCCGCCTCCAGTCTTCCTCGGAAACAACATTAACAATACAGTAGACTGTAATACAATTTGGTTTTATATAGCGTCTAAATGCGACCGAATCTCAAGGCACTGTATGGAAATAGTGAGCATATTTATTTTGTAGAGAAAAAAGCAGTCATTCATCGGTCTCTCTGTGCGAGTCTTTGGAAGAGGGAGCGAGGCAATCGGTCATAGGCAGAGGGAGAAGAGGAAGATATTGAGAGAAGGTATTTCTAGACTGTGGGGGCAGCAGAGGAGAATGAACGACCTCCAGGTGAGCGAAGGTTGGCTGGAGGCTTCAGAAATAATGTTCATGGTGTCCTCAAAATGCCTTTTGCAAATGAGCAAAAATGTTCAAGTTATTATTGCTGTGGTAAGAGGACTCTACGTGTCTCAAAGGTCACAAGGTCAAGTTTGGATCAATTGTTGAATCGGCATCATCATCCTTCTGGGTTCAATAAAACAATTACCGCTTTGTAGAGGTTGTTGGCAGCGGTCGTCCCATGGAGAGCCCGACCTCCGTCATTGACAGATCCCACCACCATCCCAAGGCCGCCCACAGAGATGAGCACCACCCTTTCCCTTGTTCGAGACACTTTGAGAGGTTTCATTATTGAACGAGGCAAGAAATTGTACCACGACACATTTTACGCGTGGGCGTTTCCACGAGCCGGAAAAGCATTTTGTGCCAGCGTTGGTTCTATTGATGGGGACCTGGTGAGCTGTCACCGTGGATTCTCCAACCTGTCTGTTGGTTGTCGCTTCTCAGTGGGCCACGTGTTATTCAGCTCTTTTCCACTCACATAGTCAAGAAGGGAAATCGCCCGTGTCTTGGAACAGCCCAGCACGTTCTACTGCCCAGTCTCGACCGTTGTTTCCCTTATCCAGTCATCTTGACTGCTGCTGTTCTTTTCTGACTGGAATGTTGCGCGTGTTTTTTGTTCTTTTCCTGCAGGAAAAAATCTGTATACAAATGAATACGTGGCAATTAAGTTGGTAAGTATTTTTATCATCATTATCAGTAGAATTGTTGTTTATCCACGTCATAATGTCATGGTAATAAATTCTGGCATACAGTGTGAGTAAAGCATTTGCGCAGAGGTGCACATTCTGACGTATTATGCTATAGATGATTCTCAGTCATTAGTAATTGCAGCAACATTTGGATGTATGCTTTATCCAGTTGCCGGATAAAGACCCTCTCAATTTGTTGCCATGCTTCATCAGATCGTCAACCTATGGGTCTCTCCGGACCATTCTCCCTGCAGCATTTTTTAAAGCTGCTAACACTTGGCCGCAGTCTGCTGATGACTCGGAACGTTAAGATGAGTCGAGAGGTTGGCTGTTTAAACAAACGATGCATGTTGTCGAGGTGTGATGTCACAGAGGCTGCATCTGAACAATGCTCAAAACTTCACACTTGCGGCTCTCCCCTGTAGCTAGGCATTCGGGCCGAGAGTGCGCCTAAACGCAGCCATAGCGTCCGTAATGTGAGTGGCCATTTCATCGTTGTGATTCATTTCCATGCGTTTTTATCAACAGGAACCCATGAAGTCCAGAGCGCCTCAGCTGCACTTGGAGTATAGATTTTACAAGCAACTCGGCAATGCAGGTATCGCTTTATTGATTTCCCCACCCCCCACCTGTTCTGCTGTTTTCAGGAGAGAAAAATAATCCGTTAAGTAAATAACGCACGTCGAACACATCAACGTGCATTTGTCTGAAGAGTATTTGAGTGGAATGAGAATTCTGCGCCGCCATTGGTGAAGGTGTCTTTGTTGTATTTTGCTGTAGCGTACGGCGTTTAACTCCCCGTGAAATCCGCCAGCGCCACAGTAGGACATCTCGATCCGCAATGGTTGCGTTAAAAATAATCAACGGGGAGTTATCGGCAATTGATTTTTAAAAATATAATTCCTGCTCGTTCAATGAAGCGTTGTTTTTGGTCTTATTTAAGCTTCCTCGAAATGTGCGTGCGGGCGCAGACGCGTTCTTAAAAAGTTTGTCTGAAAAGCGGCAAGCGAAATTATATACCGGAGCGAGCAAAGACGAAGAGTCACGTCTTGGGCGTTGCGTGAACTGCGAATAGGGGGTGAGCAGTTTACGTGGACGGTGGAAGTGAGTCCCAGTCAAAAGGGAAGTACAGTGAAACCTTAGCTTGCGAGCATAATTCGTTCCGGAAACGTGTTTGTAATCCAAAGCACTCGTATATCAAAGCACTCGTATATCAGTTGTGATCACGTGACGCTCGGCAGACAAAGCGTATACGTACTACTCGTATTGCAAGACCTCACTCGTTTATCAAATTAATATTTATTTTAAAAAAATGCTCGTCTTGCAAAACACTCGCAGACCAAGTTACTCGCAATCCAAGGTTTTACTGTATATGAGAAGAGCGCGACCTCCCATTGCCATTAAAGTGAGCGGTGTTGGGATAAGCCTCCGTGTACGGGTGCTTGGATCGTCGTCCTGATGGGGTGTCCACTGCGCAAACGCGTTGAGTTAATGATTTGAGCTTTTTTTATTTTACTCTGTGCAATGTGGGGCATCTTCAGCCCCTCACCGTGTGTGCATTTCCCATTTTACAGGCACGCAAATATGCCGTGGCAGGGGGGGGGTGGTGGAGTGACATAAGCGAGTTTGAGACTTTGCACTTCCTGTTTGAGCACTGTATGACGTGAACTGGCCTGGACTGCAGCTCGCAGGGTGTTTTGAATCACCTTGTTTTTTCACCGACGGGGCATTAGTTTTGTCGTGGCCATGCCATGTACACCTACCTAGCTCTCTGTAGCGTTGTACGTTTTAGACATATTCGGGAGGGGGTGTCATTGCTAATTACGATACAGTTTGGAATTATAGAGCATTTAAATGCAACTGCATTTCAAGAGTCTGTACAGAACGGTGAGAATATTTTGTAGAGAAGAGATGCTCAGCCATCGGCAAAGGTAAATAAGGTCTTGAGGTTGGAGTTGAATAGGGCAGGGAGTCGACAGCACAGATGGCAGGGGGGAAAGACCGTTCCAGACTATAAGGGCAGCATAGGATGTTAAAGGCCTTGTTTGGTGGAACAGAGACTGCATGGAGGGGAATAGTGAGGTGCGCTCACGATTCAGGGTCACTTGAAAGCAGGCTTTGATTATATTTTTAAATTGTGGTGACTGCAGCAGCTTCTTGGGCATACAAATCTAAAAACAGCCATTCTTACAGTGGCAATTAATTGCCTTTATCGTGAGTTTATTTATTGCGATTAACCGATGCGTCAACGCTTCGTTTAACATACGCGTCTGCAATATGACCATTAAAATATTTTTTTTTGGTTCGATAGTAGTGTCCTGCAAATGCTGTACCTTGCACTTCCCCAAGCGGTCTGCCTTTAAATAGACACCTTCTGTCTGCACGGTTCCCCTCCTTGTTATAAATCAAGGCTGCGAACGAGTACGTCAGTGGTTGATAAGATAAGTCCCCCTGGGGTTTTTTTGGCTCATGAATCTTCACACGCAACTTAAACATCTTTGATAACAGAAGTCGCAGGTAGCCACTGGCATGACCGCTCAGCGGAGAGTGCTGGGGAGTGCGGCTGAGGATCCGAGTGTCTTCCAACGGTAACATCGACATTGGTGGCTTCCATTGAGTGTTTAGCTGCAAACTACAAACCAATAAGTTATGAACACTGAATACTATTATTTGAATGCTGATATTCACTGATAGCACATTATTGCGATTCGGTAGTGGCTGTGGAAATTAGGATAGCGTGTGTTGTGATTTGGATGATGCATTTTATTCCACGTTAAGACGGTTAAGGATAGGAACAGTTGCCCACAAGAACTTCAACAAATGATAAACTCGGTTCATAGTAGCAGTCGCGAAAACTCGACCTGCGATATCGGAACTCGTTGGGTGGTTCATACAACTCGTAATGGGGGGCAGTCATTGCAACTGGAGTGGTTTTGGCGGATGTGTACAGCTGATTGCCTTCTGGTCGCACATTTTACTGGAACGGCTCTGCGGATCTCACTCCACCGTTGGCACACTCCCACGCCCCACGCTCCCAAAATTAAACGAGCAGCGGTCACGCAGCGTTGACCCGGGTGACGTTCATACTTGTGGTTTTTGCGTGGAGCAAGTGTTTTTTTGGTTTAATTTCGTGAGAGCTCTGTATTTTTGACAAATCCAAGCTTTACCTCCGACACAGAGGGAATTTTTTTTTTTACCATTCGGGGAAATGTAAGGGTAGGAAACGTTATACCAGGTTCCCTTTTATGGGCTTAAATTAATTTTCAAGTCCGTTTTCTTAGCGTTCTTTACGTAATGGAAAGACTGCAAATGCATGTTTTCTGGGCTGCGGGGGTATGTCATTGTTTTGCTTTACTCTGTTTAAATTCTCTTGGAAAGTGTAGAGGTTTTTGTTGACGTCTACAAGTATGTCTGTTCGTATAACAAATTGTTCTGACCGAACTTCTCGCAAGCCCATTATTACCAGCCGGTAGGTGCGCACATGGTGTTGTCCTCCCCCCTCCCGCACGGTTTTGGCTACGTACGGTGGGGAAGGAAGTTCTACACACATACATAGGTAGTGGCGTGATTTGCATCCGAGTGGATGACAAGAAAGATCTCCACGGAGAGAGTTCTGCGCCACTGGGAGTCGTCCGGACTGGAATTTGGGAATCGCTTATCCAGGCTTCACGTCCCCTTTCTAAAATGTCTCCAACTCCATTTCTTTCAAAGTCATTAAGCTCAATGTTGAAGATAAACTGTATTTTTTGCTCGCACGTTGAGTTCCCTTAATCTTGGTGGAGGAATTCACCCACTGACCCCCCCCACATGCCATTTGGGTAATTGTCACAATTCCATTCACACATTGATTGTGATGTTGCATTGGCAGTGGGCACATAGGAAGACATAACAATATACTTAATACATTAATCAATTACACTGCTCTAAATAGACAGATACACACATTATTGGCCTATATTATATATATACATATTTGTATATTTTTAGGGCGATGTTATTAACTCGTATATTACGCTTTTGCCTTTTTTGTGCATGTGTTTTTAGAATCTTTTTGGTATTAATTACGTTATTCTATCGTGTATAAAGTTGAATACACCATCTAAATCGGTTGATTCTTATTCATACGCGCTTGTATTTTGAGCATACCAATGTTTGTTTTTTTAAATCTATTCATCTTTACTACTCTTAATTGTCATCACCGGGATACCAGTCTCCGGTTCTCACCTCGTTAAGTCCAATAAATTTGGATTACTTATGATCGTGTCAAATCCCTGATGTAGGGGTTTTTGAGCCCCTGATCTGGCAACTTTATCTCCCGTACCAGCCTACGTGTGCGAGATGCCAGACGGTACCCTTCTTGCCGGTGCCGTCGCCCCAGGGTTCTTGAATGAGGGGTTTTGCTACCTCCTCGCGGTTGAGGTCATGGAATTTTAGCGTCCAGAAGTTCACGTTGATGGGAGGTGGTGGGAGGTGGGGGTGCTTTTTGGTGTTGAACTTCAGTTTTAGATGTTTTTAAATTAATGTTTACTAACTCAGCTGGTGGTGAATGCTGCAACAATGCCTTGTTTGTCGGTGAATTTGATTATAAGGAAGCATTGTTTATGATTTTTAAAGAATTTTATTAAATTAGTAGTGTCTTTTCCACAACATTTAGATATTTTTTTATAACTTTGTCGGTTATTTTTTCCTCTGATTTTCTAGATGCTTACATTCTCCAAATTTGGTTGCATTGCGAGCTGCAGGTCATAATTTCAATACTCATGTAGTTTGTTTGTCTGAAGAATTCTCAGGATGCCATTTAAAGATAGCCGTGGGTTAACATGACGGTCCAGTTGCTCTTTATTGAGTGGTGTTCACGTGGGAGGAAGCTGGATCACCTGGGAAAAATCCCACGTGCATAGCGGGGGGGGGGGGTTAAACACCTAGAGGGTTCATACAGACAGGTTCACGAAGCCCACTCGCGCTGCCATCCCGTGGCCACCTCCCAATCCAGCAAAGGTTTTCGGAGTCTCACAAACGTATGCGATCCACGACAAACCCTCCCCCTCCCCTTTGTCTTGCCCGGCAATTTCTAGACTGCAAGGCGTGCGCCGGCGGCGCCGCTCGGTCATTTTTGTTTTATCTTGCCTGGGCTTTGGGAATGGATGTTCTCGAGCGCCTGAGTCGTGTCCGCGCGATGACGTCGGCTTAACGAGCCCCTGCCCGGCGACGTCCGGCGTCTGAATGTCGGCTCTCGCGCCACGCGATCCGGGCGAATGATGGAGCAATTTGTGCTCGAGACCCTGCTGAATGCGAGGCTTCGTGCCGCTGTTAAATAATGCATGGAGGCTCTGCTGGAAATACATATAGTGATGTATTTGTTCCCAGAAGGGAGAGTGACGTGTCCTTATAAAGACCACCCATGGTGACAACGGCGAACGGAGATTCACAGCTCGCTCTATTGGAATAGATGCCGTTACAATCTCGCGTAGGTTTTGTAGCTCGTACGTGCGTAAGTACGTTCAGAGCCGCTTGATTAAAAAAAAGTTTCAAGAGTTATTTTTTGTTGTTGTTGCAAAACGTCAAACTCCCCCCTTCCCCCCTTTTTGTAATTGGAGG